CCCCCCCCCCTCCCCCGTGGCCTCTAACACCCTCACAAGGCCTCGACAGTGCTTCTTCGGTCTGAGTGGAGTTCAGATGGGCCCTTTCTCTTCTGTTCCCAGCCTCTCTAGGAAAGTAGAATTTCAAAAAATATAGAAAAATTTAATTGATCTCAAAATACATACCCAGTATAAACACACAGTCACTGGAGATGGATGTTAGAAGCTCCTGACTGTGGTCAGCACCTCGGGCTTCTCTTCCCTAGAGGGGGAAAGCATGTCAGAAGTGATTTACAGAGTTCTTCCCTCAGGGAGGAACCCTGGATGGACCAAGAAGGACAATGGAAAACGTGTCCTAGGAGACACTCAGAGTGGCGTGGGATGGCCACAGATGGTTCTGAGTCGTGTTCATTTTCCTTAATGTCGAATGGTGTTTCCTATCCTTCTGTTCTTTCTCATCAGATGAGAAGTGGATTTTCTCTCTTTCTCTCTCTCTCTCTCTCTCTCTCTCTCTCTCTCTCTCTCTCTCTCTCTCTCTCTCTCTCTCTCTCCTGGAATTGGAATTTGGGGATTTTAAGTACTACATGGGCACTTCAGATAAGGCAGGACAAGGGAAAAGCAGCAGAGAGGCCTCACTATTGCTTATCCACATGGAATAGTTCCTAGGTAGGACCCCTCAGAGCCCACGTGGAGACACTTGTGGGGTACAGAGAAGTCTGCAGCTGAGAAAGAAGCCCCTGTACCTCACATTTAAGCTGACCCTCTCCTGTTCCCATCTCAGGAAGAGCCATTCTCGTATGCAAGCCAGCCCTCTGCTCAGTCTTGGGGAGGACCCCAATGTATTTTGGTTGCCTCTTCCCTCTTTCTCTTGCCATCTGGGTTTGTGCCTCAGCAGGGAACCTTTCCCCCTTCATTTAAAAGGCAACAGCATGCCTCATTAGCTGTTTCCTCTAGTGGAAGGCAGTTGGGCTTTTTCCAATTATTAAAACCCGGGGGAGGGGGTGGGAGGGAGAAAACAAGAAACACTGAGCCCTTCGTTCAGGTCAAGGCAGCAGACCAAGAAGGCTTATATTCCACGGGACTAGCACCAGAATTTCTAGTTTGGGTTAGGGATTTTCTTACTTTATAAAATTAATTTAAAAGGGCCTGATACTAATGCTCTTTTAGTTGGCCTGTTTGCCATGAGTCACCCACCCTCCAGGTGACCTTTTCCCTACCCTTTGATGAAGCCATGTGTACAGTGATCATAAAAACTGACCTCAGAAAGACCAACACCCACTGTGGCAATGGCAGGATCCTCCCTGACCATTCCTGACCCCCTTTTTTTTTTTTCTGTCTCTATAACTAAGCCTTTCAAAGATGTCATAGCTTCTATTTCTAAATAAGATTGCATCAAAATTTCAAAGGATTATTGGTTTAGCACTCCTCTGTTTATATTGGACTCTGACCCGAAGAGGCTGGCAAGTAGCTACAATACCAAAGCATAGGTGTGTGGGGGTAAAATGTTTACAGACGACCTGAAAGGTCCCGACAAGAGGAGACTTCTGCTGAGGTGAGCATGGACCTCTATCGCTCTATCAGCAGTCTCTAGAAGAAAGCCATGTGACCGCTACCTGTGAGCTAGCTAAAGTGGCCTTCAGAGTGGCTGCTTCATGAGACTAACAAACACATTTCTTTTCTAACAACAAAAGGCATGAAAGGCGGCCGTTAGCCAGAGGAGTCGTTTAGACAAACACCAATGTGCCGTTTCACTGAAAGAATTGCTTTGAAATGTCCTTCTTCTTGCCCTTTTGCACACATGAACACACGCACACATACACACACACACACACACACACACAAGATCTTCATCTGAAGAGCCTATTAAACCATTTCCCTGACAGCTAAATTGGAAAGTATTGGAAGTGTGAGGCTTTCATAATTTCTGAATCCGTTTTCTTGATTGTGTAGGGCAGGCAATGGCTGAGTGTCAAAGGCACTCCAGAAGTGGTTGGCTAACTTTTGGGAATTTCACAGCTTCCTGCCACTGTGTTTCAGGACACCTGGCATCTGGTGATGGAGGCACTGGGTCTGTAGCCTCTTGGCTCATCCCAGAAAGGCCTTTGCACTCTCCAGGGGTCCAAAGCCTTGAGTGACCAGGAGACAGAGTACTCTGTAATGGGGACCCCCCCCCCAGCAGACCCTTTGTGGACACTTGAATAAAGTGTGGACTTAGTTGATAGTGGCGTATCATTTTTCTTTCTTCGTGGTGACAGACACACTGCGGTAATGTAGGAAGTTAATGCTGGGGGTGGGGGTAGCAAGAAGCCTTCCTACGGCATTATCATTGTGCTTTAGCCTAGAACTATTGTAAAACCAGGCTGATATTAAAAACTTCTAATTTCTGAAAATCTGTTTAAAGGTTTTAGTGCCAAAGAACCCTGAATTCATGGGGAAAATGGTTGAAGTGGACATTTATGAATCAGGAAAACACTTTTTGAAAGGACAGCCAGTATCGAACACCAAAATCTACACACCGTCCATCAGCAAGCCCCTGGCCAAGGGAGAAGTCTCGGGTTTAACAAAGGTAAGTTCAAGGTTCCTGTCCCCTACGCTGCTGATGATGTGGCAGCTTAGGAAGCACAGTGACCTGCGCCTCGAGTCTGTGATCACGTGTAGGCCCCTTCTGAGGATGCGCAGGTTTTGCTCCTTTCTGGCAGATGGCGATCTGGAGGTGCAGCTGTGTGGGTGCTGATGCAGCCTTTTGCTTCTCTGCCCATAAAGGGAATAAACTGTTTCCTTTTCCAGACCAGAAGCAGAAGGCAAAAAGCCATTATTTGTAGGTAGGAGATTCAACACCAAGGGTGAACAGGTCCAGCATGTTTCTGTATCGTCGATCCTGAAGGGAGGGGGATAAGGACCTGGTGTTTCCCTGCTGACAAAGCTGTTTGTAACACGGTTAAAGCCTACGGTGAACAGACACGAAGCTGCGGCACACACGTGCTGTGGTACCTCATGCTAGTGTGAGCTGCATAGATACTTGAGTCCTGTGGAGCGAAAATGAAACATTTTTTCATTCTGTAAAAAAAGTCACCTGGCTCTGTTTTATACCTTGGTAAATATGGATGTTTGCCAGCCTCTCACACATTTCGTTGAGCTACAGTTGTAAAAGCTGATGGAGTGTGAAATGAAAATGTGTATCACATTTCTAAGCATCATTTGATGTCCTTTCTTCAACACAATTGTTAAACACCCCCTCCCACAAAAGGATATAGCAATGACTTAACATATGGGAAAAGATAACTGATACTTATCTGCCCATGCAGTTCCTCGACCATTTACCTCTGCAGCTCTTAGTTCAAATGAATAGGAAAGGCATCCTAATTCAAGGAAGGGAAGTAGAGCTGTGCCTCAGGAAGGGCGGCAGGTCTGTCCTTGCCCTCTGTCTGCACTGATGACGCTGAACTCAAATCCTACGAGAGTGGCACTCCTGTGCTTGGCTATTGCAGAGGAGGGGCTGTCCATGTTCTCTGACCCCAGCAGAGAGGCATGTATTAGCACGTCAGAACCATACCAGCTTTCCTCTTTTGTGTGTGTACACTTTAGTAGTGTTATTATCATCATTAGTGTGTGTATGAGTGCTCATGTGGACATCTGGGGAATTGGTTCTCTTCTTCTGCTTGAGATTCAGGAATTTAACTCAGGTTCTCAGGGTTGTACAGCAAATACTTTCATCCTCTGAGCCACCTCACCAGTATTTTATTTATTTGATTTCATTTTACTTTGAGACAGTCAGTGTCTTATGTGCACTAGACTAGCCTTGAACTCACTTTGTAGCTGAAGATGGCTTTGAACTCTGAATCCTTTTGCCTTTACTTCCCAAGTGCTAGAATTACAGGGTATAATTCTCTCAAACTGTACCCCGTTTGAGGCGACCATCTTGTTAAAACTTGGGGGGAAATCACCGATGTTCATTTGGGTTTTGGGAAGTATTTTAGTTATTATTTTCATTGCTTAGGGGTTTGTTTTTTGTTTGTTTCCTTTTTTTTTTTGGCTTTGGTGTTTTGGGTGTTTTGTTTTTAACCTTATTTGGAAGTTGGAGAGAATGGCCTGGAAGCAACAGTAGTCTGACATTGAAATTAAATGGCTAGAGATTCAACTGAATTATTTCATCTTATTCTTTAGATGTTTTTCAAGGAAATTAGCTAACCCCTCATGTGCTTTAGGAGATTTTTTTCTTTACTTGTTCTGGGCTTGAACTCATGGCTTCACGCATGCTGGTACAGCCCTTGACCACTGTGCTGTATCTCCAGCCCTTTGCGGTTGACTTTCAATTGCTGTAGTGGAAAGAATTTTACAACAAATGGCAGAAATTTTTTAAAGACCCTGCCTGGCTTAGTTCTGACATGTGCATCTCTCGTAAGGGCTCCAGCTCAAAAACCTCTTATGAGTTCTCCGTGAAAGACAGCCCCTCTGTTCTTGCACACCGTGTGCTTTCTAAAGGTCCGGCCCACTTCAATTCTAGGAGGCCCACTTCCCTCCTCTCCTCTCCTCTCCTCTCCTCTCCTCTCCTCTCCTCTCCCTTCTTCCAGTCTAAAGTACAGTGTTGCCACCAGCCTGCCTTTGCCCAGGACAGCCCAGAGGGCGGGGTGTGATGAGGTCATGTGACTCCTAGCTTCTCTGAGCTTATATATATGGATTATTTTACATGCATGAAACTATAAGTAAGGACTGGGGGGTGGGGGCGGTGCTAAGGGAAACATCCGCAGCTCTTCCTTGTATCTTTATTTGTGACTCACTCTTTATCTGTATTTGTCTATCTTTAAACACACGACCCATATGCCAGGATCCAGAGGCTTTGCCGGTGACCTTGTTCTGTTATATACTGCACTCTTTAGCAGAAGAACCAAAGAGAGCAGGAAGGGAGCGTGGGAGTTACAGGCTTGCCAAGCAAGTGCCAGAGGCTGTAGCTCATCTCAGGCATGGTGAGCTCTTCGACAGCAGGTAAAGGTTGGAGTTTGGTCACAGGGACCCGAGTCTGCACACGGCGTTACCAGTGCACTTTGGGTCTAAACTGCTCAGAGCTCTAGTTTTGCATGTTGAGTGGGAGTGACATCCCCACCCCACAGTGTTGATGAAGAAATAAATTCAGTCCTGCTGGTGAGTTTCCTTACTCAAATACATAGTTTCTGTCTCTATGAAATTACATTTTCATGGAAAAGGACAGAGAGGAACCTCTTTCTTTTTTCTCTTCTACTTTGAAGCACCGCGAATTGGACCCAGACCTCCTCGTATGATGCAAGGTTTCTACATGTAGTTCCTGCCTTTATACATTTTATTCTGAGACAGGGTCTTCATCACCTGCTGAGTCTAGCCTGTCCCCATTCTCTGCTTTGGTTCCCTTAGGAACTGAGCTTATAGATGGGTTCGGTCGAGACAGAAACGCCAATCTTCCTCTTCCCAGCTTTATTAGAGTCATGGAGGAGGAGGCAAGACAACTAGAGACACAATTAGTCTGACTATCTTTAGGGCTTATGGAGTCAAATGCCACCCACAACATAAGAAATAAGTCGAGGAAGTGTGGTTGATTTAGGAAAATGTAATGTAATAATTTAAGTGAAGGCACCTGAGCTCAAAGACGAATGTAAATCAAATGAAGGCCGGGCTGTGACCTTTCCTATAGAACAGCCAGGGGACTTGTGCTTTAAGGTGGAGGAAGGGGTGGTGACATGTATTCTAGGATGATAATCCTTCACTGTGGTCCTCATGCTCACAGTGCAGCATTGGCCCTGACTGGTTGGCATTAGAGCTCACAGAGTTCATAGTTAGATAAGACCAACATAAACCGTCCAATACTATAGAGGTAGCCAGCAGGGAGGGTTCTCCTAAGCTAATTCCAGCTGCATTTCTCTAGGACCTAAAACAAAAGTGTGGTGTCTTCAACAATAGGGTCTCCTAAACTAGTTCCAGTGGGTAATCAAGAGAATTGCAGTAGTCTGTGTTGTTTGGGGGAGTATCTGGGTCCTTTCTGATCAAAACTCAACTCATAGGATAATATCCCATACCTGACACTGGGATTTTTGTTTAATAACCTATAGCTTCTGAGAGCTGCATTATCTATACCTGTAAGGTGCTTGCCTTCAAAGTATTTTTATTATATTTTTAAATATAACAGCTTACAAAATAGTAGGTCTCCATATGGCTTTTTCATGCATTCTTAATTTTAGTTAAACCTTCTTCTGCTTCCTTCTTTCTCCATCTCCCACTTCCATCTCCACTTCAATCTCTCCACCCTGACTGGTTCCTCCCTCTACTTTCCTATCAAGTGTGTTTCCACCTGCACAACCTATTTTACAGTTTTGTACTGTTTTTTTGCAAGCTTTTTTGGTAACTCTAATACACATAAAATTTAAGACCTATTTTCCCAAGAAAACGATTCACAAACTTGAGTATTTGATACAAAAAAAAAAAAGCAATTCTGATGTCCTTTTACACAGCTTCCTCACACCAGCTGTAGAAACTGCAGGTGGGTATCAAAAGGAGACCTATGGACATGGTGGCATCCATTTGGAATCCCAATGCTCAATACTTTGGAAGTTGATACAAGAGGATCTCTGTAAGCTCAAGGCCAGCCTGAGCTACACGAGGAGATCCCGACTCAAACAACAAGAAAAAAAGAAACGTATGGGTAGATAAGCGTGGTGAGGTGTGCAAATCTACAACCATTCAATTGAATGGAAAATTGTCTCTGACTCCTCATCCAAGAGTGGGATCAGGCTTTGTTTTAATGATCATATTAAATCTACTTACAGAGAATTTCAAGCACATCTAACAATAGCATATCATTTTCATCCCACATCCCCATGATTAGCCATCTTGAACATTTGTCACCTTCTAGTAAATCTTGTATCATCTGTGTTCTTACCTTCCCATCTTTCCCATACCCTAATTATTAGTAAGAGAATTCCGTTTATCATTTTATCTAGAAATATATCAGTAATTAACCCTAAAAGGAAAAGGCCTTTTTAGGGTCTAACTTTTCTTTTGTCATCTTGGAGCAAAGTCTAGTGTAGTCCAAGTGACAATTGGTTGAGGCTTAGCATGAGCTATGAGTCCTGGTCCCCCAGATTTCACTTCTGGAGTGTCTGGAATTTCTGTATGTGTGCTTTCAGCACCTCTTTTGAGGTGGTGCTAGGAATTAAATTCAGAGGCTATGGTGTACGAGGCTCTTCATCCCACTAAACAACATCTTTATCACTAGAAGATTTCTTTTCAAAACATAATCATATTCTATTATCAAATCACAAAACAATGATTCTTCTTTACCATTGACTGAAATTTCCCTAACTTCTGCTAAAATCTCAAACCAGCATTTAGGGGAATGGTTATCTTGGGCCAAGTGGTATGTTAAATATGTTATATACATTCATATCATCCTTATGATAGGCCACTATTACCATTTCACAGATAAGGAACCAGGGCATCAGAAGACTAATAAATAACTTACTCCGACTCATAAAATGACAAAAGCCAGGTAGAGGAACAAGAACAACGTTTTAAATCCAGGTCTTACCAACTTGAAAAACA